ACTTAATCCCTCACCTCTGGAACTGTTCTAGTTAAATACAGGATGGAATGGGCAAACTGAAACATGCATCTGAAATAGGAGCCTTCTTCTATCAAGACAGAAAGGAATTAGAGGGAATTATGGCCCATTGTAGCATCTAGTTAAATCAATACTTTTTAACGTGGCTAATGACGCTCTGCTATGCACATTTTTGGCTGTAAGCTTTGACAGCCTCTAGGAACTGAAATACTTTAGAGAAAATGGAGGAGGGAGCTGATCCAACTATTTAAAAATGCCAAAAAGGAATAGATGATGATGATAAAATTAGGCAGGTGAACCAGATGACCCCAAATTAAAAGGCCTCGAAAGAAAGACCAGAAGAAATTCCTCCACAACAAAACACTGGTCAGTTGAGCATCTGACTAGGAGAGTGTAGGGAAAGATTAACGAGTATCATGATTACAGAGACACGTACGCAGAAAGAAAACAAAATACTGGTTGGTTATGATGGTTCCTGAGATAATGGCAAACAGTTAATGTTACAGTATAAAAAGTAACTGGACCACAATAGGTAGTAATATAGTGGAGGGATAAAGATACATAAATGAGGAGCACTGCTCATGTATTTGGGTCAATCATGAACATCTTCCATCCTAGTAACCCCTCCAAGTGCCTTTTTAACCATGTCCCCCCCACTTCAATCAGTTCCTAAAGTACTGCAGTGGCCTTAGCTGGGCTCGCCAATGTAGCTTGTCTTGAGGGGTGCGCACAACAGCTCATCACCGACAGGTAAAATTGCACTTTTTCTTAAAAGGTGACCACAGGAAGCTAAATGAAATACAGAGGGGACTGTCCATGGGAATAATGGATACAAAGGCCACTTCCAGTACACTGCATTCAGTATCCGTCTTACTAAAAACTTTTAAGCTAACAATCATCTACAAACAAGTCTTCCTCTGGTCCTGAAAGGGCAGCCGATACAGACATTAAAAGCTTCACTGAGAGGTGCCGTGTTTCTGCCGCTTTGGACTTTGTCAGAATCCATTTACATTGCTGCCAATATCTGATGCTTAATCCTCCTAGTGACCTTGAGCTCCTTTCACTATGGATTGGGCATTGAGTTACTCCTGTAGATAATATTTGGGGCTATTATTGATAGAATGCCTGCTGAAAATCAATCCTCCGGGAGAATTGAAATCAGTCTATATACAGCAATGCTGAGACCCACCTCACTATCAATCCAACCGGTTTCAGCACTGTTGATTTGCCAGCGGGGATAAATCTAGATTTTGTTTCACACAGCTTCAAGTCGCAGGACATTCAGTTCAGAGCAGTTGATGTGATGCCACTATAGTGTTGCATTGTGTCACATTCTCTTAGACTAGACTCAGGTGACGCTCTCCCAGAGGTTTCAGGTTATCCTGCACTCCCTAGTTTCACAATAATGATATTATTCTCGACTTCTCTTCACACAGACACAGGCTTTCAAGAAGCACTGTGTGTGTGCACACGTGACTCAGTTCTTTGTCCATAAACACACAAAACAAGGATCTACAGGGAAAGGGATTTAAACCTTGCGAGGATTCAAATGTGGGACTACACCAGATTTCCCAGCAGCATTGAGAACGCTGGAAGCTTTTATTTAGAAATAAGCTTCTTATACAGAAGATGGTGACAACGTGAGTGAATGGCAATCCACATCAAGGGCACCAGAACCATTCCTGTTTTGCCAGCTGAAGTGAGACTGAATCTGCATATTAAAATTTTAGTGCTGCCCAATATAAACAATCAGAGTCCGATCACCTTCCTGGAGATTGAAAATAGTGATAATTTAGGTGGCTACGCGGCATGAAGGAGTCGACTGGAACTGGCCAAAGCCATTTCATGTTGGGGAGACTGTGGCATCATGGAAACGTCACTAGTGTTGCAAACTGGAAGGCTAGGCTAATGCCCTGGGGACATTGTCATAGAACAGGTCAGCACAGAAGGAAGCTTTTCAGCAGAATGAGCCTGTGCTGGCTCTCACACTACAGCAGTACTGAAGTTCAATTAACCAATAAAAAGATTTAGACTAAAGCAGTCTCACCAACAGTAACACAAACCATTCTTTGTCATTTAAAAAACCCATCAGATTTAGGAAGGAAATCTGCCATCCTTACCCAGTCTAAGCTACTATAGCACTGGCATTGATTGTAACATGGTTGACTCTTAACTGCCCTTCTAAGTGGTTAGCAAGCCATTTAAAATTAAGAGCAAACAGCAATGGGCAACAAATGACAATCTTGCCAGTGACACCCTAACCTTTAAATGGAGAAAAAATGGGCTCTGAATTGAACAAGAAAACTTCCATTCTAATAGCATGGGCTAGACCAGCTTCCAGAGCTGAAAGGTATTTAACCCACACTTTCACACAATGACTGGTCTAAGATTTAATTAATTGCCTGATAAAGTGGTAGCTGTAGGTTTAAATCTTTGAAGGAAAAAAAAAACCATTACAAGGATATAGAACGGCAAGGCAGGTGAATGAATGGGATTGCCCTTGGTAGGAGCTAGCACAGATATACTGTGCTAAATAGCTTCCTTCTATGCTGTACCATTCAACACACTTTTTACTCCATGGAGATCCTTACAATTGCTACTTACTTAAATTTCTACTGGTCAATATGTGAGGTTTTGTTGGTTTAGCTGGTGAGCCCTGGAACACTCTAAATCTTCAGCCCTAATGTTAGGCGATTAGCTTTAATAATTTAGAAATGTAATTCAGGATTGTACTATGACATTTAAGGGTAAATTTATTGGGGAAGGGCTCCTGCAGTAGACCCTCACTTTACAGAAGCTAAAGAGAAGACTGCAGGACAAGAGCCCAATTCTTAAACATCTATTGAGATTTACTCCACAGGGCTCTACCTGTATTTCCAAGGCCCAGCTAAACAGATGACTAGACTGCAATTTGTTAAATTCAAGCATTGTGAAGAAATTACAAAAAACATTTTATGGTGGAAATGGTAGGCAGGTACTTTGAATAAAACAGAATTACAGATGCTGGAGATGTAAAACCAGCAAAACTAGACATTTCTGAAGAAAGTCAGCAGGTCTGGCAGCATCTGCAGAGAGAGAAACAGAGTTAAATGTTTTGAATTCTACAATGCCCTAGTGGCATTAAATCGCTGGACTGTTAATCCAGAGAACCAGGTAATCTTCTGGGGACCTGGTTTTGAATCCTGCAACGGCAGATGGTGGAATGTGAATTCAATAAAAATCTAGAATCAAGAGTTTCATGATGACCATGAAACCATTGCCACTTGTTGGAAAAACCCATCTGGTTCACTAATGTCCTTTAGGAAAGGAACCTGGTTGGCCTACATATGACTCCAGACCCACAGCAATGTGGCTGACTCTTAACTGCCCTTTGGGGCAATTAGGGATGGGAAATAAACACTGACCTAGCCAGTGAAGCCCACATCCTGTGAATGAATTTAGAAAATAAAGAACTCTAAACTTGAACACCATTTTCTCTCCACAGAGGTACTTTGAGTTCTTGATGTGACACTTTAAAATATCAAAGCTTCTTTCAGATTGAATCATACCTTCGTATGCTTTGGCAACATTGACCAGACTGGACCATTCCAACTCGGAGTCTGTGTCCGGAAGAGGCATCAGTCCTGGATCGGTACGACGCACAGGAATTCGGTCACGTACATCAGTCAAGGACAGCTCGGAGGCAGACATGTTAGCTAAACAGTAAAAACACAAAACAGAATTTAATTCCAAAATTTGAGGGGCAGTCCCCACCAGACCAGGCAACAACTGCTCATCAAAATATATCTTTCAACATAAAGGAACGATGTAAATTGTTTTTTTTCAACATTTTTCAACACGGCACAAGAACAGAGGCCATGTTGCATCAAAGTGTTTCAACAACCTGGGGGATGGGGGGCAATTAAAAAGAACAGCCTGAAAGACAGAGCATACACAGGCCTGTGTTTAGAATCACCCCAAGGATGATGTGGATCTCTTCAATCGAGTTAATTCTCTCCCTCATCCACTTCCCTCTCCTGTTCTCAAACCCATGTACACAGAGCAGTGAGAAAACAGTAATGCTATTCATTTGACGAGGGAAATTCAGTTCTACATTACAGATGTCAAACTGCATTTTTGACTCCGTTAACAGCCTAGTGTTAAAATGATAAAACCAAAGAGAAAGTACAGCCTATGCTGTATCCATCCACTAACGTGAAGGCAACAATCCTGTTAGTCACCTAACAGTGAAAATGCCTTGGAGAAATTTAATGGAGGAGAGAATAAAAGATAATGAAAATCATTTTCTGTTACAAGTTCACAATTATTTTATATACGTATACAGACTAATACAATAAGGAGTTAAAATTCTAAAATCTACAACTAGAAAGATAGATCAGGGAATTAATGAGGAGAAAATATAGCCTATTTTACAATCTTACATTTCTTTTCAAGATTTATTGCTGCTGGAGGCTGGGTTAATCTGCGTGTGGGCAGTGTTTGTGAAGGGTATGTGCTGGTGAAGATCACATCGTTGGGCAGTGCCTGGTCAAGAGCTGCAATCTGGGAACTGGAGAAACCGGCTTCCCTCCGTCCACTGCAGATGCTTTCATCTGACAGAGTCCTCTGCAGCGTCTTTCGTGAAGAATGCTAGAGAGAAGCAGAGAAATTCCTCTTTTTTTAAACAACAGATAAAGGAAAAAAATTTCAGAGGCTATAATGTTTGTGCTTGGACAGTACCTGCGTGCTTCACAAATCTCAGAGGATTTCGCATCACTGACTACAGGCAAATGTCCTGAATTACACTACTTCCATCACAGCAGTACAGGCTGATACTTGTGCTTAAATTCTGAGAATCTACATGCTCTCCAGGATGTTTGGGATCACTCAGCCTCCCACTGTTCCACACATTCTCCACTGAATCAAACAATCTCAGGTTGGATTCCCTTGAAGTTAGATGGTTAAGTGGTGATACAAGATATTAAGAGTAGAAAGAAATTATTTGTACTCGTTGGAAAGCATAGGACTTAAAAAAAAAAGGACATTTTTAGCCAATTTTTCACCACTTAAGTTTGGAAACATTTCTGTACACAAATGGTGGCAGAAATGTGGAACTCTTCGATCAACAGGAGATACTAGATCTAATGCTAATGTTACCTGAGATGGATAGTTTTTTTAAATTAACAAAGGTATGAAGGGATGTCTGGCAAAGGTAGGTTATGTGGAGTTAATTGCAAAACAGCCAAAACCTCATTAAATGACGACAGTCTGAGGAGCTGCTCCTAGAGGTCAGATGTTCTAATCTAGTCAGGACTGTGGCTTGGGATGACTGCGGTCAATTTCCTTTCATAAGCTGGATCATCTTTGCCAGTTAACTCCCTAGTAATTCGCGGCAAGAATTGCGTAGGGTGCTGGAACATAAACCCATATTCCACCATTTCACATCACAACAGATGCCCAAAAGTACAAAGCTACTTTGCCTGCAATTGATTTCCTTGCATCCTTCACAAAGAAGACAGCCACTTATTCCCATCTTCTTGCTGTACCTCATTGACAACAGGAAAATACTGACTTCAGCGGCCACCCAAATCACCCTGACTGCCCAAGGTAGAACATACAAGCATTTCTTTATCTTGCTCTGGCAAAGGGTTGTCCAGCAAAATTAGCTTCTTTAAATCTTCTTCAAGGGTTGATTTGTGGGACTTGCGTGGTGATCGGAGGTCTCTGAGTGATGCTCGCAACCTGGGCTGTCCAAAGACATTCGTAGAGGCAACGCTGGAAGTTCTAGGAAAGAAAACAGAGAGCAGCTGAAGACAAACAATAAATATCTGCATGTCTGGGATATCGCAACAGCCTCTGGATTACATTCACTTCATTCTCTTTAATGACACAAAGAACAAGTTTAAAAAAAAAGATATGTAAACAATGTGTGCTCTTCCTCTCATACTAAGAAGCGGTTTTCAAAACTGGGATTCTTGGAAGCCTGGGATGTCATGAGATTTTGTCCATTTTGATTTATGGTTTCCTTTGGGTCATTATCTTTGAAAGTTGGCTTTCCAGGACTGTGGTAAAACTGGGACACACTTCCTTCATTATCCTACAAGAGATTTGGAAACTGTTGTGATGGCATGAGCTCATACCACCAGGCCAAAAAAAAAGTAAACTCATGAACGTGAAGCATGGAACTAGAAAAATGTCAATCAGCTGTCAAACCAGTCTCCTGCACAGACCATATACAATCTGCCCCATCATGAACTCAACATTCTTTTACTTAATCTTCCAAGTAAGATCTTAGAAATTTCTACTCAGCCCCCGATGGCAGTCAAATAAAGCTCCAGAACATTTATTCAGCTTTCCAACAGTTCAATCCCAAGTCAGTTGTTTGTGACTCTTTGTTTTTAAAAACCAGCTTCTGAACCTCTCAGCATCTCTCAGAAATTACTTGTCACAATCATTTGTGACTGTACTTATTCTTCAAACCTTCAATCGCACATGCGGTTAACCTTTTATACACAAAGTCAGAAGTCAAACGACACCAGGTTATAGTCCAACAGGTGACACTTCACGTGATGAAGGAGCAGCGCTCAGAAAGCTGGAGATTTCAAATAAACGTGTTGGACTATAACCTGGTGTCGTGTGACTTCTGACTTTGCCCACAACTGGCACATCCACATCATGGCTTTTATGAACATTCAGGGAAAGAATGCAGTAATACATTTAGAACCAGTTTGGTTCTCAAATTTAGATGCCTCAAAGCTCTCTGCTGTTCTTGTCTGATTTACGACAAGATGTGTTAAAACTGTATTTCAATAGGTTACTCCCTTCCCACTTCACTACATGGTGTAATTGTGTTAACCAAATCTCAGCGCAGGCACTCATCTCTATATCAGAAGATTATGGGTTTCAATCCCACTCCAGGCACTTGTATCCAAGGTTCTGGTCTATGCTTCACTGCATTGGCTAGAAGTGACATCTTTTGAAAAGGACGTTAGTTAGAGGCTATCTACTTTCTCAGATAGTGCACGAGATTTTGCACTACATGAAAGGAGGCAAAGGAGTTCTCCCTGCTAATCTGGCCAATGTTAATCTCTCGAGCAACTTCACCAGAAAGACAGACTCTCTGGGTCATTAACATTTCACCACTTGCTCGCTGCGCTCAAATTGACCATAGCATTTCCTACTTTACCACAGTGACTATACCTCAAGTGCTCATAATTGGCTACAAGATGCTTTCAAGCCATTCAGGTACTGGTTGTTCATTCTCTATCCACCATACCATTTCTTCTAGCAAAAGACACAAAGGACCGCAGTAAGTTGAGTCAGATCATTATCCTGCAACTAGCCACATAAGTTTACATACAAAAAACAACTCACTTCCAGGTTACTTATCATATTCATCTTGCACTATGCATTAACTGTGAATTATATTTGAGCACTTGAAATAAGAGAACACAACTAAAATTCCCAGGATCTTAACAGCTAAACAATATTTGTGGCATTTCCTGTATATAAAACAATGTTGCGTGTGACTATTACTACTCAATTAAGTGCTTAATGGGTCATGTTGCTACTTGGTTTACAAGTGAGTCATAGACCTGAAGGTCTCAAGTTTGAGGTTTTTGCTGCTCTCACCCAAGATGGCAGTAGAGTTGCTGCAAACAGCCACGTTGTCAGAACATTAGCAGGAGGGAGGGGAAATCTAGCCAGTGTTCCCCATGCCAATTCATGATGGAACATGTGCAACGGGACACGAGAAGTACAGGATCAGCAATCGCTTTGAGGCAGTCCACAGCCCTTGACCCATTTAGAATCCTGGGAATTCAGTGTCTCTTGGGTAAACAGAGTGTGCACTGATACTGCACAACACTCATACAATTAGAACAGTCACCATCCCCATATTCTGACTCACATCAAGTCTGGGTAACCCATCATCTCCACGGTCACTGGCCTACACCGATTCTAAATCCAGTCTTACTTTCAAATCCCTCTGGTCCGAAATAGAATTCTTTCACATCCTTCACCACTCCTTCTACAACCCTGAATTCCCAGGATTCTAATTGTGCATTCCCCATTTTCTTCATATAGATGTCAATGACTTCAGCTACGCGAGTCCAAAGCTTTGGAACTCCTTCCTTTATCAATCAAGATCTTAAAGGAGGCGAAGAGGGAAATATGGCCAAGTATTTGGTGACCTGTTCTAATCTCTCCATGTGGTTTGTGTCAAGTATTTTGGATTGTTTTGCCATGTTAGAACCTCCTTTAATAGAATTGTAAGCTGCAGCTGAGTGAGCAAGAGTTAAGCAGCCAGAATGAACAATCTCTTTCAGGAGAGAAAAAGTTGAGAAGAAGAGTGCACACTGTGGGAAGCTTTTGAAAAAAGGAAGACAGGAAGCCCTTTAACACACTATCAAACTTCTACTGCATGTTTGATGGGACAAAAGCTTTGCTCAGCCAGAACCGCTACGCAGTCTATGACAAATAAAGCTTTGAATGAGCACTGTTGGCAAGACTAGTCACTATCCATCTCCAGGCAAAAATATTTTAGATCCTCAGATCTCATGTGGCAGCACAAATTGATTTTGATTTTTCCCTGCTAACTCATTCTGATGTGAAGGGAAACCACTTGCAGATTCAGAATGTAAATGCCGTTGAATTTCTGCTCAATTTGGCCACATGCTGGTGATTAGACTGTGCTCCCTGTCGAGACAACACCGGATAGCAGGTACTACTGAATAGGCACAGTCTGAGATATCTTTATTAACTCTATTTTTGGTCTGTAGTAACTATCAGAATCTTTCCCCAGTGCTGTGCTTACAACTAGCAACATTTACACCTCAACCCCTGTGACTCTTTTCAAAGGCCATAAAGTTTCTTTTGTTTTAACCTTTTCATAACATGAGTTTTTAACCTGGAACAGGTTTTAAAAAAAGGTCAAAGCCATTGCCTTGAGTACCCATTGCAGATGCTGTACACTCATCACCAGTCAATGCCTCTGGCTGAACACAATGCTTTGCAACCTCAAAAGGCATATCTAACTCTGGATTTCAATTTCAGTAATTCATTCTGTCCATCCAAAAAACAGTTTACTTTCATTTCACCTCTCCCCATGGAGAAATCCCACTAATTAAACCCTCAGCTGCATTTTTGTCACTTCCAAATGAACTTTTCCAATACTCTACTGGCCTTTCCTCCTTATTTCACAAACTATAACTCTGGTATTGCTAGGGGACAAAAGATATTTTGTTTAAGCTTTGTGTCTTACAGGACAATTCACAAGAAATACCAAAGGAACAGTATTTTTCCAAAAATAATCATAATAAAATCGTAATTAACTCGCGCATTCTTCATGGCAAACCCAGAGTCCACTTCCCAAACAATTAGCACTCTGCTCTCATACAGTATAAAATGTTCTTTTCTATTTACTTTGGTATTTCTTGCAAATTGTTCTGATGAGTGCAAGGCAAAACAATTGGACAAAAATGTGCCTATTTTCAGCAATACTCGTGTTCTATAATACAAAATGACAAAAAAACCTACAAATCCATCCAAACTGTACTGTTTCCTATCCATCTCCAGTTCAGATTCCCCCACCAACTTTATCCTTGCTAACCGACTTTGGCTTTTAGACCTCCCCAATGCCTCCAATCTAAAATTCTCATCAGGGCACTTGAACCTCTTCATTGCCTTGCCTGCCCCAGCCTCCATTACCTTATCCTGTCCTATAAAACCCTGCCCACTACCACCATGAGCATTCATTTCCCTAACCAAAGCACTTTCTGTACCCCCTAACTCCTCTGCCCCACCAGTGGCCATACATGAGCCATCAAGGCACCACTTCACAGATTTCTATTTGCTTCTCCAACTTTAAGACAGTCTTAAAAACTTTTCTGCCAAAAGGTGATGCTCACCTGTCTTAATCAGGCAAAAATAGATGCTAAATAAAAGCTATGTGGAGGTTATATTTTGTTTGTGGGTGAATTGTGGGCATCTTGGAAAGGCCAATATTTGTTCACATTCCTCATTGCCCTTGAACTGATTGAAGTGGCCTAGAAAACTAAAGGTAGATGACAGTCAAACACATTACTGTGGATCTGGAGTCACGCTAGGCCAGATCAGGCAAATGCGAAACAGTTCATCTCCCAAAAGGATATTAGCACTTCAGATGGCATTTTATAACAAACAGTTACATGTCTCCATTAGACCAGCTGTTATTTCCAGTTTTTAACTAAATTTAACGACAGGATTTAAACTCAGGCCCCTGACTATAAAGCACCAACGTTGCCAGTTATCAAAACTGCTCTTTTTGAAATTTGCATTAGCATGGTTTGGTGAACCACACTCTCCCCTAGGCCATGTGTCCGAACCCCATTACTAGGCTTAAGCACATAACCTAGGCTGACATTTCAAAGGAGCACAAAATGAATACTATACTGTCAGAGTTGCCATTTTCTGGCTGGGATGTTAAAACGTTTGTCTACTCATGTAGAAAAGATAAGAAAATGAGTGCCCTCTTAATTTGTTTTGGGATATCCCGAGATGAAGACACAAGAAATCTGACCTGTCTTGAAGAGGAGGAGGAGGAAGATAATGCTATCAAGAGAAAGGAAGTGAGGAGGCCTGTGATTTCTTGCCATTTTATGTCTCTCAAAGCCTCCAGCTGTATTGAGTTCACTATTATCCTATGCTGTTCATTTCCTTTCTTTCCCACCAGAGACAACATTTTTCATTTGCCTATTAAATTTCACTTGCCATTTTGCATGATCTAAACCCTTTTATGAAATATT